GCCTGAGTCCGACAAGGACCACGAGCGGCCCCTGTCCGCACTCAGCTGGGCGCGCGGGACCCCCAAGTTCGAGTCGGTGCCCTGAGGGTGGGCTGTGCGCGAAGCAGGGGGCCCCTACCTGGCTGCCTGCGGGGATGGGAGCGGCTGCCTTCTCCGGGACACAGGCCTTTTCTTGCTTTTCCCCTCCCGTGTCTGTCCAGTAGTGTCTGACCACAGGGGGGAGGGGTCCTACCCGGCCTTGGGGGGCTCCCTCGGCTGCCAAGGGGTGAGATCCCCGTCTCAGTGCAGCCACTGCTGCCTCCCCGGTGCCTGCGGCTTCAAGCCCTAATCGGGGTTGATGTCTGTGAGGTGGGTGCAGGCCTGCCCGGAGCTGGAGTGTTGGACAAAGGCGACCATCTTTCTGGGTTTTCCGGGCTTCCAAGGTCATGTGAGGCAGGCCGGGGATCCAGGGCCACTGGCAGGAGGAGAGGCGAGTGGCATTGGTGCCTGATATCCTGAGTCACCACCTTGGGCCTGGCTCTCCTATGGCAAAGCGGCCACTTTCTGGGAGAGAGAGGGTGTCCCCTGGGCCAAGCTATGTTCAGGTGTCTGTCCCCAGCCCTGGGGGGAGGGGTCTGGTGCTGACGGGCTGTCCTGCAGCTGTTCAAGTCCCGCCTTCTGTCCTCAGTACCTTCACCACTCTCCTGTGGCCCCGAGGGCAGTTGTTCCTCTTTCTGGAGTCCCCGCCTGGTGCCGTCCCCTGTGAGGCTGTGGCCTTGGGCTCTGGCCTAGCTGGGCTGGCTGTGAGCCCTTGAGCCAGCTGCTTGCCCTCTCTGGGCCCTGCCTTCCTATGTAATTGCGGGATCTCCCCAGCTGAGATAGGATGGGGGCGCGTTTTGACTCCTAGGCTATCCCACACTTCTGCCCCATGAGGCTTTCCAGGACCCGAGCTCCTCAGAGGGCTCAGGGATCTATGCTGTCTCCACAGTCGGAGAGCGGGACTCAGAGTGGGCGGGAGGGAGCAGCTATTGCCCCACCGCTTCGGAGATGCCCCTGGGGCTGGGGGAGGGGTCCCTGCTCCGTGGAGAGGTGGTTTTGTACTGATGCCCACATCCACTGTCCCAGGAGCAGAGACACCGCCCCAGAGGGCATGGATCTGGCTCCTCCTCTCCAGCGCGGCCCAGTCTGATTCCTCCCTTTTGGCTCCTGGAAGGTGTAGAGCTGAGATCCCAGAGTTCTGGGGTAGTTTTGGCTCAAACTGTTGTATTCCTTTTCCTCCCCTTTGTCACTCAGCTTGGTTTGGTGCCCATAACTTCCTCCTAGATCATCCCCTGAGGTTGGTGGGGCTTAGCTCTCCTGGGGCCCCTCGAAGCTTGTCCAGGCCCTCGTGCTGCTGGGCCCCTGGCCTGGGCATTGGTCTCCTGCAGCTCGGGCCTGGCTCTGAGCCCCTCGTGCTGTCACTGAAGTGGCCCAGTTCTCTGTGTCACGGGCCAGGCCACCCCAGCGCCCGGACAGCTGCATACACAGCAGGCACCTGTGTCAGCTCAGTGTCGCTTCTGCTCAATGTCTACCTCTTGCAGTTCCCATGTGGCCAGCGTTTTCCCCAATGGCCGGCCGCTGCTGGTGGGGGCGGCTGGCACCACTGGCAAATGGGGCGCCTGACTGGGCTGGAGGGGTCAGGGATCCCAGCCCCTAACCCTGCTCTCTCGACTAGAAATGTGTCTTCTCCAGTCTGCCCGCTCCTGCCACCCCAGCCTGCCTGTCTGCCAGCTCTCTGCGTCCCTTCAGTCCTGCACCTGCATTTCAGCAGCGCCGAAAAACTCTGCTGAGAAGGGGCGGTCACCCCAGGCTTCCTCTCTGGTCCTGCCTCCCGGCAGTTCACATTCCTCCTTCACATGACATCTTTCTCGGCGTCCATGAGGCACCAGCTCATGTGGCTTAGCCACCTCAACCCTAATCCTCCCTTCCCTCCCAAATAGCCCTGAACTCAACTTGGGCAGACTTATTCTGATTCTCTGAAACCCCATCTCCTCTTTGCAGAAGGCACCGATGTATTACTCTCAAATGATAAAATAATTAGCGCGAGATCCTTCTTCCCCGTCCGATTCCCTCTGCCTTTCCTGAGCACCCCAGGCTTGGAGCCAGAGGGAGCAGGCATGCCGGACACTGGGGAATTTGAGTCCAGGCTGATTTTGGGGGTGGGGGCTGGGATGTGGGACCTAGGGGGAGGGCCCCCCTTCCTTTCTGGAGCTCTGATTGGGGCTCCGAAGCCTCACGCCTGGGATGTGAGGGTGTACAGTGAGTGCTGCGGGCAGGCGCTCTGGCGGTGTTAGTGGATGTGACCGTGTGGTTCTGTCTAGTGACCGGACTCGACATTGTCGGTTTCAGTTCTGCTTTTCACAGCAACTGTAACCAATAAGCACTTTCTCTTCTGGTGGTTTGTTGCATTTGTTCGTCCAGTTTTGTTGGAGCAAAACAAAGAGCCGAGTCTCATGTTGTTCTCCGGAGGGGCCGCTGCCCCTCCCCAAGTCGTCCCGTGGCCCCAGTCGGCTGTTTCCTGGCGAATCCCTCCAGCCCCCGTGAGCCGGCTCCACTGGGGCTGGAGAGCGGACTTCCCCGCCTGACCAAAGCGCCCCGTTTCTCCGTAGCATGTTTGTTCCTCCCAGTTGGGGGGCTGTCCTGCTGGAGGGCCCGCCTGCCACCTGCCTGTCCCTTCGCCCTGTTGGGGGTTCAGGGTGCATCCACAGCCAGGGCCTGCTCGCGTGGCATCATGGTTTTTTTTTTCTAAAGAGCTCGACTCCTCCCTTAGGCTTCACAAAATATGAAAAAAAAAAAGGGGGGGAGACTTTTCATGCATTTGGATGAGCGTCCCTCCTGCCCGGACCCTGGACCAGAGAACACAAACATGTTTGCACCCCAGTATTCAGACATCACTAGCGGGTGGGCTCTCTGGGTCTCCTTTTACCACTCTGGACCCAGACCCATGCCCAGAAGTGTCCTGCAGGCAAAGCGTGGCACCCATTTCTCAATGAAAGCTGGGCCCGAGGCAGCGTGCAGCTGTGGTGTGGTTCTGCGTGGACACGCCCACCCGGCCCAGGTGCAGCCGGCCCGGGAGGGGTGCTCCGGCTGGAAGGAGCCTCGAAACTGACCCCGCCTTAAACAACCAACTTTCCAGCTGAACCCCAGGGGGGTGGGTGCCCAGTGTGCTGGGGACCTAATCTGCCACAGGAAGTCACCTCCCTCCTTCTGCTGCCTCTGGGTTTGGGGGAACGTTCTTAAAAAAATCATACTTAGGGTCAAGTCCAAGCATCGAGGCCTGGTCTGGGTCCTGCTCTCTTTGCTGAGAAACCGAGAGGGTGGTTGGGGTAAATACCAGTTGGACCTCACTCTCGTGGGGACAAGGAGTGGCAGGTGACACCAAAGAGGGGCAGGACAGGAGGGTGGCTCGCTCATGGGGACCCCCACCCTCGGACCCCACCGTCCTATTTGTTTACTTGGTGGTGGCAGCCTGTCTGGTCTTGTTCGCCGTCTGACTGTTCCTGTGTGTACCTCTCAGTATTGTCCGTGGTGGGTGGGTCTGTGGGGAAAAAGGTTCCTACTCCTCATGGCTGCCTTGTACAAAATCCGTTAGAAAAGAACATGTAAACTATCAGATTTCTAACAAGACAAAAACAGCATTACGGAGTTAAAAGATTTTTACAACGGGTCTTGATTTTGATGTGAGCTGGTTTTTAACTCTCAAACGTTGTCACTTAAATAAAAACCTTATTTGCCTTTAAAATGTGCTTTGCTCTGAATGAAGCTGGGAAACCTGTGGCTGCTACTCCTGCTCTCCCTGAGCAGGGGGCTGGCTGGATGAGGTGGAGGGAAGTGGGGAGGACGAGGGGAACAAAACCTGGCCCCAGGACAGACCAGAATGACACAGGGGGGCGGGGGGGGGGCATTGTTACAGGGAAGAGATGTCAAATACAGAAAGTCTTTTTTTTTTTTAATGATGAAAGAAAATATTTCATTATTTCCCATAGATGTACTGCTGGTACATCGAGAAAACCATTACTTTTGGTATATTTTGTACATGGTTATATTGCTGAACTCTCCTATTCATTCTTTCAAAAAATTATCTTTATTGTTGAAAGTATTACAGATGTCCCCCCCTTTCCCCCATTGATCCCCTTCTCCACACCCCCTCTCCCCCAGGCCCTCACCACACTATTGTCTGTGTCCATGGGCTATGCACATGTGCATATAAGTTTCATGGTTAATCCCTCCCACCCCAGCCTTCCCTCTGAGACTCCCTCAATCTGTCAGAGGCTTATTATGGAAAAGCAACATTATGAAGGGAAGTTATGCCCTGATTTCTTTCTAATAAAATGACAAAGCAGATTTCTTAAAGAATTTACAAAGGGCAGAAATTGCTGAGCAGTGCTACTCCTCGCTGCCACCCACAGTGCCCGGTGCTGAGAACATAAATAGGTACCCGTAGGCCCCGGGTCTCAGAGCCTGGATATCTCTCCCATCCCTTCTTTTGGGGCAGGCACGGGAGCTGTGTCACCTCCTGGGCTGTGGCAGGCGGTCCCTGCGGGGCTCAGATGTGGTCCGAGCAGGAGAGCAGAGGCCCTTGACCAGCCCCCACCTGGGCCTCTGCCTGTCAGGTCCTTGTCAGCAGTGGCCCAGGGGCACTGCCAGCTCCTGGGGGCTTCCTCCAGGAACTCAAGGGTGCGCAGGCATGGATCCCACGTGTGGGGGTGTGGGGGTCAGGTATGGCTCACTTCCTGCAAGAAGGAGCTCTCTTCTTGCCCCTCATTGTGCTTCAGGGGGGAGGGAGGAGGACACCAGAGCCTTCCCCCAGAATGAGGAGCTGGAAGGTGGTGGGTGAGAGAGGTCAGCAGCTCAGATCTGAGCTGGTAGGAAGATGGCACGCTGCCCACTCTGCTGGGCGTCAGCTCTGTGGGTTTTTCCAGGAGACTCAGTTCTTTAACGCGCCTCCAGATCTGCACACGCGCTCATGTAGGAGGAGGAGGAGAGGAGGAAGAGGACGCTGGGAAAGATGCTTGGGAGGAAAGATGCTCGGGAGGAGGACCTTCCCTGAAGGGCACTCCATCAGTCTCGAAGGAGAGAAATGGCCATGTCAGCGCTAGAGATGGGGAAGCAGAAGAGACAGGCCATTGGGTGCGGCAGGCTCCGAGGGCCCTCCCAGCCTGGACTAGGCAAGACCAGACCCGGCAACATGGTGGGAACTTGGCACACTCGGCATATAGTCAAAGCTCGCAGGGCCACCTAGGAGCCCGTCATGGCCATGTAGGCACAAATGGCCCCAAGTTAGGGCAGCTCCAGACCTGGGCTCCGCCCTCAGAATGGGTTCCTGAGCAGACAGACCAGGAACTCCAAGCAGCCACACAGCTTCTCCCAATTCCATGGGTGGGCAGGGCATAAGGGAGCCAGCCGTGGGGAGTGTTGGAGGCAGGACAGGTCTTCAGGAGCCTGGGGAAGTTCCAGGTGGTGGACATATGTGGCGGCCTAAGGCCCAGAAAGCCACGAATCTCCAGGGTGCATCCTCAACTACCGCCCCAATCTAGGTCTTTTATGTCCCCTCATGTTGCAGACAAAGAGACTGAGGCTGAGAAGGGGAGGGACTGGCCAGGGTCATACAGTGGCCAGAGCCAGAACCAGAGGCCTGCCTAAAAAGGGGGACCTTGCCAGCCACTTTGCTTGGGAGGATGGCTGCCAGCTTACCTCTCTTCAGACGCAATGGCCTCATCCAGCTCCTGAGACAGCTTCTGGAGACGCTGGATTCCTGCCCCCACGGGCTCCAGGTCACTGTCGGATTCACTGAACAGAAGGAAAGGCCACAGGCACCAGGGACTAGTTGGAAACCTGTGGCAGGTGCCTCCTTCCTGCCCCCCAAACCAGCACTGCAGCCTGGGATTAGTGGGGGCTTGTCATCACCCCAGACCCTCGCTCCAGGAAGTGACATCAGCGCACCTTGGAGCAGCTGGCAGAGAACAGATGGATCAAGGCTCATGGGGTCAAGGCCAAGGGCAGGAGATCTTGCAGAAAGGTGAGCCCTGCTGTTTCCCACTTGAGTCTCAGTCTCCAGGTGGTTTTAAAACTGGCTTGTAGGCTCACTAGGAGGCTTGGGAGTGTGATACAGGCAGAGCTAAGCTCTCCCCTTCCTTTTATAGATGGGGAACTAAGGCCTTGAAGACTTCCCCAGGTCCCTGGCTAGTGGGGTGCAGAGCTGGCCAGAACACGGATGTGACTCAGCTCAGGGTGCCCCTGGTTCCAGGGAGCCCCCGGAGGGGCCCTTAGTGTTTTGGGGGCCAGGCACTCTTCCACTTACCTGGGGGAGCAGAGGGGCTCTGTAGAGGAGTAGGGGCTCCGGAAGGCGGCCTCCCTCCTGGACCTCCGCAGAGGGTGGGCACGTGGGCCTGTCTGGGTGGAGTGGCGGTGACGCTCCCACCCCCAGGGGCCCAGAGTTGAGCGGCCAGGGCCGGTTCCAGAAAGCTGGGTGCTCCTCTGGCTCAGGCTGCGAGCTGGGGGGCTACCACCCTTCTGTGTCTCTCTCTTCCTCCTCCTGGCTTTCACCTGGGTTTCCACCAGCCACTTGGTGCCACTTTGGCAGGACTCCTGGATTCTCTGATGGGTACATGGAAGTGTGAGCACAGACAAGCTAAGGGCCACCCTAGTCTCCAAGCCATACCTCCGCCCCCTCCACCTACCAGCCGTCCTACGCACACAAGCAGCTTTGTCTCAAGCGTGAGGGATATGGGTGATGCCACCGCAGGGACCCAGCTCAGAGCCCCAGGTATGACTGGTCTGCAGCAAAACCACTCTGGCTCAGAGCCTCCAGGCGCCTAAGACCAAGCCCTCTTTCGAACACAGACTGACCCGGAGATTCAAGAGCAAAGCCTGACCCCCAGGACACTGTGAGATCATTCGTCCCCCTGCTTCTGGTCGTACTCTGTTCCACCCTCCACACGGATGCAGAGATCCCTCTCAAGGGCAGTTCTGGTCATGACACTGCACTGCTCAGTGCCCTCCCACAGCTGCTCATCACCCACAGGGCCAAGCCCTAACGCTCGGGCCTTTCACTCCGCTGGGGGACGGCTGTGAAGGCTCTTCCTCAGCGAGAGGAAACCAGAGTCCAGAGTCCTTAGAGCAAGACCCGCGTTACGTTAGGTGAGTTATGTGCCCTTGGGCAGGCTGCCTGGTTTCATCCCCGATCCCTGGGCATGAAACAATCATGGGGTTCTTCTAGACAAGGACTAGCATTTGGCTCAGACACCTCTCTACAAAGGGTCCCCAAAACATCTTCCTTGTCCCATATCTTCAGATTCCCAGTCAGATACTAAGGAGAGCCCCCTCCCGCCCCCAGTTCTCCCCTTGGAGGTCTATTCACTCCCATGGCCTCTGTCCTTTCTAGGTGACACCTCCATGCCTCTCCGACTCTAGGTTTGAAGACACATCCACTTGGAAGGTCCACAGGCACCTCACACCCAACATAAGGGACATCTTCCTGCCCACACATCTCATCTGACACCTCAGCCCCCCAAATCTACCTTCTGAGCAGCTCTTGAGGCTGTTCACTCCTCTGCAAGGCCAGGCCCTCAGCGCCCCCTCGTGGGAGAATCTGCTTCTAACCCCCTTCTATCTAACTCACCAGCTAGCTAAAGAACAGGTTCTAGTGTGCTAATTAGACCTGGTGCCCACCCTGCTGTAAATTCTTCCCACTGGTTCCCAAGACCACCAGTCTCTCTTGGGAGTGCCCAAACACCCTTGGCACACTGAGCCCCCTCTCACTGCCCCACCTTGCTCTCTGGGTCTGGGCTCTCACTACTTCCCCTGTCACATGCTCCTCATTCTTCCCCTTTCCTGGGTGAATTCCATGGAATCACCTCACCTGGGAAGCCTTCACTGACTAAGCTAGTTTTTGGTGTCCTCCCATCATTAGCCACTGGCTTACAATTTCCATCACAATACAGCTCTATTATCTTGTAGAGTGAGGATGTTTTCTCCATGACACTGTTTTCATTCCCTCACTCAACTATTTGTTGAGCACCTACTATGTGCCAGGAACTGTTTGGTGTGCTGGGAACACAGCAACGAACAAATCAATGTCCTTGTCTTCATGGAGTCTATGTTCTTGGGGGTTCCTTAGGGCAGCCGTTGACCTGGACCTGGTCAGCATTACCTGGGACACGGCACCCAAGGCGTTCTTAGCTGAGCGAGCTGCAGCCTGGAGGCCCTGCTGCTCTGGCTCTGGGGTTTCCAGGCGTTTCCAGGAGGGGCCCGCCCCTAGGTTGAGGCTGACTGCTCTCAGGGGCAGCCTCCTTTGGAACTGTCTGCAGAGGGAGCCCAGGGCTCCGCCGGAGGCCTCCAGATGGCCAGCTGCAGGCGGCAGCTCATTGCTCTCCTCCAGCTGCTGGTGGTCCTGGAGAGATCTCCTGCGCATGGACGTGCTCACGCCGGGCCACCGAGAGGCCATCGGTCTGTTCTGTTCACCAGACCCTGGGAAGAGGTCAAAAGGCAGGTCAGCAAGGCATCCTCCATCCCATTCCCAGGCTCCACAGAGACCTGGGTACAAGGGAAGAGATGGGACGGAGGCCCATGGGGTGGGTGGATGGCTCAGGCTGGGAGCAACCCTGGGTGCGGGAGGAGAATGCTTCCTGAAGGGGAGGGTGTGGTCAGCGATGCCCGGGAGAGGGCAGAGGCTGAACAAGGCTGGTCAGCATTTCCTGCGGTCCCTTGCTGTGTCTAGAACAGCTGTTTTTTCATCCCAGCCTCAGGCGGGGAGGGAGGCAGAGTCGGGAGCGGCCCTCCTTGAGCCTCAGCAAGGGGCCCAGCACCGGATCAGCGCCTCCCACAACCCGCCCTGACCCAGCGAGCTCCCACCCAGACCCTGGACGCCTGGCCAGAGCTCCCGATTTCCACCCTGCCACCCCCAGATGCCCACATGCATGCCTGTCCTAACTAGACACCCCCTCACCCCATCGCCTCTGGTCTCTTCTGAACAGAGGCCCCACTACGCCCCGGCCTACACTCACCCCAAAGCTCCCACGCCTGCGAGATGCGGAGCACAGATGCACCTCGCCCACCCCGGCCGATTTGAAACTCGGCGCGGATCCGCCCCCTGCCCGTCCTCGCAGCTGATTGGCCCCGTCCCCGCCTCGCTGTCGCGCCGGGGATCCTATTGGCTCTTTGCTCTCGCGGCCGTGAGTCCGGCTCTCAGATTTGCCGGGTCGCCCCCATTCATGCTCGGGACCCCCGCGGGCTGGGCGCCCAGGG